GGGGGGGGGGGGGGGGGGGGAAGATAGTTGAACCGAACCGATTGTGCGGGACGCTCGCCATGAGCGACGAAAACCCCGACCCAAGCGGAAGCCGAAGCCGATATTCGAAAATTAGAACAAAAAAAAGCAGAGAGGTTCCCGCGTCACGGCAGCAGTCGACGACTCACATCGACGTCGGACCTCAGCTGTCGCTCCGTGCGCAGGGATTCCGCCCTAAGGTCTTCCAGGTCGTTCGACACGAAGATCTTCTCCTCGATGGCGAGGTCCAGCTTATGCCTGCCATCAATGGCAACGGCAAAGGCGGTCGGTTAGATAGTGAGGTCGGCACAGCTGCGGAAGTCGACGCTGAAAACACTCGTGCCTTTCCGCTGCTGACCGTTTAACTCCACCGGTGTATTTCGGCGTCTGTCTATGTTCGTCGCCTGCGACGTGCAAGCTGCGCACAGCTGACTGCGTGCGTGTTGAGCACCGGCCAAAACGGGCCAAGATCTGTGGTTAAACATTTTCAACCTGAAGATATTTAACCACCAGGTCCTTCAGCGGTTGGCGCGATCATTGTTATAAGATGCGTCAACAACGACGGAAAGACCACACGTTCGAGAAACAGCCACGGCAATCATTGCAGCGGTACATGGTTTTACCCAACAGAACCAGCAAGACAAAAAGCGAAGGACATGGTCTCCACGGAAGTGACAATGTCACACGCAGAGGTAGGTTGTTGTTACTGTTGATTTGTCTTCACAAAACAAACTGTTCCGGTCTCCGCTTACCTTCCAATATCCGTACTGGTCCAACTGACGCAGGCGCGTTCAGAGTGGCTGATCACAGGCCAACTAACCGAAAACGGTAACCTTGCTAGAAACCAAAGAAACGCACGATAAAAGGTAGGCACGATAATTACCCCGGTACTGCTGCTGTACCTCGAGTCCTCCTCGGCTGCAACCGCCGCCCTGCACTTGGCTTCGAGCTCGTCAGCGGCTTGCTCCAGGCTGGTCTTCTCCGCAGCCGCGCGAACGGCGGCGGCCTTAAGCCGCGCTGTCTCCGCCTGGGCTACCGCCACCTACCCCCAGAAAATCATGTATACGCGACGACACCAGTGACCGACAACAACGATCACGTTAAACCGTTCGGGGCGTTGGCACGGCATGGTTCATGTGAGGTGAAGTGGTAGGTGCGTACAGCGTACGGGAGCGTACATTCGAAATGCTCGGGTCGAGGCAAAGTCCTCGATTTCATCGCCACCATCGAGCGCAGGTTGGAGAGTTTTGTCTGCATCTAGGGTCCACCGCTGAGCTGTGTTTCTCAACCCGATTGGGTCATGCGACCGTTTAGCCTCTGTTCTTGCACGAAACATTGCGGGGGGGCGTTCTGTATGCGACAAGGACACAGGAAAAAAACCAGTATCAAATTTTTGGTCGACAACAAGAACGATCCCGCTCAACCCATCGGCGGCGTTGGTATTATTGTTGATGTCTTCACATTTTACCATTACAGTAATTAAAGAGTAGATGCGTACAGCATGCTATAGGCTGTTCTTCCTTTGGACACGTGCCTCCCCACTGATGGCCCGATTCTTGGCCTGCTGCTCGCCAAGGCGCTCCGCGACCTCGGCTAGCCGGCTCGTGAGCTCCGACACCTGATCTTGGGTCTGGCCCAGAGGTCGCAGCAGCAGCAGCAGCATGCGACAACGACAACGCGAGCACAAAAGAAAAGGGGGGCGGGGGGATGTACTCATAGTCGTGCATGCCGTGTCGTTAGACCATTGACCTCGCATCCCAAAAAAGCCGGGACGGAGCACGCCGGGTTCTCATCGGACCAGGCTCTCACATCACCAGACGCGAAGCGCCGTGAGATAATCCGCGAGTCGCATGAAGGGTGCGCTGCATCCTGCTAAGGGTGTTCGGCATCTTGTG